GTTTGGGATTTTTCCCCTTCATGGTCGGCTCCATTCCTTGGGATTTGACCTTTACGTTAATTGTGCGTTTATTCTTTCATTGCAGAGGAATGTACGGTTTGCAGGACTATGTAGGCAAAGACTGCTGAGCCTACAGATGGTACATAGGAGCAGAACAACAAATGAACTTAATGTGCAAGCCAAGCCTTACAACTTTATTTCATGTAAATAACGCTTAATCGCGGAAGTTGTCTTGGCAATGGGAGATTCAAGTTGTAAGATGTGAGAGCCCTGATCTCAGATATCTTGAAATCTTAGGATGCTAAAATGACACTAACAGATTAATCAATGCAAAATATTCAGATACTCTTAAAAAACACCCTGAATTTCGTTTGAAGTTAGAAACAAATCATTGATTTTTAAAATTTAGTTAACATTGGGAAGCATAGAAAACTAAATTAACATCTGTAAAAACTGCTCTCTAAGCACTTCAAGATGCAATTGATCTATTTATTAATCCATAAACAAAAATGAAAGGATCTGACTGAATACTTGAAGTGAAAATCTGACCCCACCAAGGTGTCTGGCAACACTCTGTCACTTGAACAGAGCCAGAATTACAGTCTTGGTGTTTTAACTAGAGGTAGACCAAAGCCCTGTCTCTGTAAAAAAGCTGAGGTCTGAATTTACATTCAATATCTCGGTACGATTTCCAATGTCACATCTGCGCTACATTTTGTGCCTGTATCTAGAACCTGTGCCTCAGACAGACACAACCAGGTGTAATTTATTTTAATCAGCAGCACTCTGCAGATTACTGTGCCTGACTGCCTTAGAGGTTATGGAGCATTGAGAAGGGGGTCCCTTGAATTAACCCTTGGACTTTCAAATGTGCCTGCTTGTTGGTTTGCATACAACACCTGTTTTGCAACTCCTCTGTGAACGCGTAGTGCTTGCTTCCAGTGGTGTGAGGTATAAAAGGAATCGTGAAAGTCGTGTATAGTGTAAAAAGACCCCAGACTTTTTAGATTATATTTTTGTGGCATCAGAACTTTTAAAGATGTGCTTATTTTCTCAATGTGTTTGACACGTGGGATTGTTTATGAATTTGAGTAAGAAGCCTCTTCTGCTACGTCTCAGAGAAGCTGTGGCTGCCCCATCCCTGGCAGTGTTCAAGGCCAGGTTGGATGGGGCTTTGATCAGCCTGGTCTGGTGGGAGGGGTCCCTGCCCATGGTAGTTGGAACTGGATGGGCTTTAAGGTCCCTTCCAACCCAAACCATTCTGTGATTGTGTAATTCTATAAGTATCTTGGGGGATAAGTCCCTGTCACATGCTGTTCCTGAACTGTCCTTGAATATAATCTGAAATAGCAGCATTTGCTAGAAAGGAGCAATGTCTCCCCACTAGGGAAATCACTGGCAATTAAATAGTCTGTACTGTGGCATGCCGGTGTCTCAAGCCTGTGGCATGGTCTTGTTTTATTTCTTCAGAAAATTTAAAGGTATCAAAACCATAAATTGTCTTCATAAAGTGCTAGCTTTTATGATACTTTAACAGGACAGATTAGCAAGGCCCAGGGTGAAATTTCATACCAAAATTAGAGGAAGAAGGATCTGGCCCAGCATCAGGACGGTCACACAAGGTTTGAGGACGGGATCCCGTTTCAGTACTTCACCCTATGTGTGAATCAGGGAGCTGTTAGGATGTTTAGGAGACAGTATTTGGAGAAGGGGGAACTTGAAAGGGGAAACTTGAATCTGGGTTTAGCCATATCAAAGATGCCTGCCATAAAGGGCAGCCCTGTTGGTTAACTAGAATCAAGTGCATGGTTCTTTTTTTTTTTTTTTAACCAGACAAGATTTTACTTTATTTTGGTATAAAATGGAAAAAAAAACCCTTGAAATCTTCAGATTTACCATTGGCTCCTATGGTAACACCCCTGAGGGCATTTGTTCGTTTGTCCTTCTGAACACCTCTCCCAGCTGAGTTTTCCCTGCCCCGTTCCTGGCTGCGTACAGGATGGTGTGTGACACACATTAATACATATAGATAGCCTTCTGCTTCTGACCTTACAAACTGTCCACTTCAGCACTGTCATTCTATAAAATGTCCAACTGCAGTCCAAGAAATGCATTTTAAATGTGAATGCAAACATTTCTATTACTGATAACACCAGCGCAGCATTTTTTGCTTTGCTGGGATTAGGACCTTGATAGTTAAAGTTACATTGGAGTAATGACACTCCAAGGTCGTGTCCTTTACTGACATGGCGAAGGAAGGAGAGGCCTTTGCTATGTTTCTGCTGATAAAATTAAGAAGGATTATTCCTTGTGTTTGGTGACATACGTTAAAAGTAAAAGAATGTATTTGTGGCCCATAAATATTTTAAGTCACCAAAAACTGGGAGAAATTTACATGTTGCACTGCATGAAAGTTGTATTTAATTCATGCTGAGAGTCAGATTTGATAAAACATTCTGAAATCTGATAATGATGTACATAAGTGCCTCCCTCCTCAGTAAACAGCCGTCTTCTCACATGAACAGTAAAGCAGCTGCAGTTCAGCTAGGGATACCTTAAAAGTAAAATAAAAATACTGTGATGGGCAGAGAGAAACTCGCAGGAAATTCCAGCTTAGAAGGCTAACTCGCAACCTCTGTCTGAATATGCTCCATTGTGCTTCACTTTCATGCTCTGTAAAATGGGGGTAATAATCTTTATTGATCTCTCTACCTTGTAGGAATGCATTAAGGAGAACTTAAATGATATCTTTGCAACGTTTTGAACAGTTTTGATATATGCAGCTCTTACAATACAGCCTAGTAGGTGGGCTTGCCATTTTACCAGGTCCTCCCACTGGAGAGCTGTCCTGCTTCTCTTTACGGTTCTCTGGTCTTCCCATCCAAACTTCTAACTGGGCAAGTTTGGTAAAGTGACGATGACTTCAGCACCTACCACTTGTTAGCTGAGCTGCCATAGCTAACCAAGTGCACTCTTCTCACTCAAGGAGTTGGTTTAAGTTGTCAGGTTGAGGCTACCTAGAAGGCACACGGTCGGGCTGTGACTGCGGAAGGAGCAGTCACTCGTTAGGACGCTGTCACTTGATTGAGTCATATCTTAGCCTAATGACGGCAGGAAGAGGGTGATCCTCTGAGGAGAGCCACCTGCCCCTCAGCTACACCTGAGTTAGTTGGATATCGTTGCGTGATGCTTTCTTGAGGATGGATTTTCTGGGGTTGTTGTGTATCACCTCTGGTGATTCAAATATGCAGAGATCTTCACAGACCCCTGTTACTCTTCACAAGACAGTTCATACATGTATCCTTTTTATATCTTTAGCAAGAGATTCAGAGCTGTTCCTCTAGTTTTGTGCTCTCAGAAAGTAACTTGGTGGCCTGCCCACAAAGCTACTGATGTTTTCACTAAACAGCTATTTTAGAGCTAATTTTACACTGTATTGTACAGTTCCTATTGATATAATGTAAATTAAATGTTGAAATCAATAGGAATTTTATATATTTGTTTTGGAGACAAATTTGCCTTCAAGTTTCATCAGAAACACTTTAGCCTGTTTTCACAAGGAAGCTAGTCATGACTAGTGCTGTCTATCCTTCCCTCCCTCTTTCCACCCATCCATCTCTCCATACCTACCTAATGGCTTTGAAACAGGTGACCAATTTCAAAAAAATTTATCAGAAATAGAGAGATCTAAAAAGGTGATTAAGCTGCTAAATGGAATGAGTATCAGCTGACAGACTGAGGAAGGCTACCCTGTTAGTACCCCCACTGAGGAAGAAGAGGGAGAACTCGGCCATAACCCACCCCATTTCTCAGCAACCAAGTAGGCCTACGCTAGTCAACGTATGCGGTAAGGGACACGCGGCAACGGGGGTCGTGCTGGTGGGGGACAAAAGGGACATGCAGTGTGGTGGATGGTGAGGATAAAGAGGAGGCAGCAAGGCTTCTGGAGAGGGAAAGCTGGAAACCTTCCAATGGGATAGGTGTTTTCAGGGGGGCTACGATAAAGTCAGAGGAAATGTGGCGAAGGAAATAGAGATGGGGTTTGCTTTTTTTTTCTTTTTTTTACTTTCCTGTTGTGGTAATCCTATGACTCTAGCTTCATTTGTTGTTGTTTGGGGGGGGAAAAAGTTTGGTTTTATTCCCAAGTTTCATCAGAAGTTTGTTTCAGATGCTCTAATACTTGTAAAAAGACTCCTCCAACAGCATAACTTTCTTCAGCCTAGTGGCTTATTGACTGACAGGCTTTCTTACAGCATCTGTTTGACATCTCATCCTAATATTAGTTTTACAGGCACATTCACATTTTAGGAAATCACTGTATTCTCAAGTCTGAGATGTCACAGGTGTCTCTTTCTGCAAGTACTTGCCCCAGAAATGTTAGCGAAAATGTTTTATCTAACACCAACCCTCCCGTTGTGTTGTACTACTTAGCTGTCATCCAAAAGCAGCTGCATTTTTATGAACGTATCTTAATAAGCCGTGTTCTGAAAGGCACCGGTATCTCTTTGTTCATCCCTAAGATCACTTGGGTGTAATAGGTGGTCATCTAGAGTAGTAGGTGTCAGTAAATCGAAGAAAATTCCCTAAGCACCTCAGTTCACAGTTAATAATATTGTACGGATGAGTTATAGAAAGCAAGACAAACAGACTGGTATTTGCACCTATTTCACTCTGTGTTCAAATGAGAGGTGGGAACAAAGCATCATCCAGGGGCCAGAGCATGGCCCAGCGTTTGTTTCACACAGTCTCAACCACAGCAGATTTGTTGGGGATGGCAGTGGACGGTGCTGAAGCGTACAGGTGATATGTGATGCGACAAAAGAGTTTGAAAGTCCTCATCACCCCAGTAAAGGAACGGTTGTTTCCCACCCTCAGCCTGTCGTATGTCTCTCTGTTCTTATTTCACCTAAGTTTGATTTAACACGCATAAAACAAGTGCTTATGTGTGGCAAGTATATGCGGCACCTGTGCATTTTCCCTTCCTATGTCCTTTTTTCCAGATTATTGGAACAATCCCACTGATGCCTAATCCAGTCCCCTCCAGCCAGGCGGCAGGTGGAGCTCAGGGACTTCAGGTGCAGCCGATAACTCCACAGTTATTGACCAACGCCCAGGGTCAGATCATCGCTACCGTCATCGGCAACCAGATACTCCCAGTGATCAATACCCAGGGAATAACGCTATCGCCACTCAAACCAGGCCAGCAGGTAAAGTGTCTGTAGCCTGAATGATTATCAAAACAGATGCACGGAAATCTTCTGCTCCTCATGGACTCTCTCATAGCCTTTCTAAACACTTCCGCCTCTTTATAATTTTTAATAACAAAAGATGAATTCTATCATACATAGTATATTAATGCATACTATATACATAGTTATTATATAATGTCACATTATATAATTTATTTCTACATTATGGGGTTATCCATTTATTCCTTTTTTCTCTTTTAAAGGTCAATATAGGGCCAACTGAGAAATTCTCTGCAGCAAAAGCACAGTAGGAATATGAGACAGCGGAGGTCCATCTGGCCTATAAAGTTCAGTCCCCTGGTTAGTGGTCACCTAGTAGACTGGGGCTTGAAATGTTTTGGAATGTGCAGAGAAAACAAAGGCAAATATAAACACTTGTAGTCTCCTTCACTGGAAAATCAGATATGATTGTGCATATTTGCATAGACAGAAAGTATTGTTAGGGAAATTATTATTCAGTGTAAGGCACCGGGCAGTTTACAGACTTTAGGATGGGTGCAGCAGCTTCACTGAGGTCTGAAAACATTTCTGTAGTTCTTTTTATAGTGCTCTAAAGTCAAATTCATTAGTTTGTCTACATCTGTAGAGCAAAGAATTGTAATGCCACCTTTTTTCTCTGAAAGAGAGGAAATTGAGGATGGAGGAGACATCAAATGTGATTACCAAAAAGATATTTATAAAAGTGTCACTCAAATAAATGTTCAGCTTAGCATTCCTATTGCTGGTAGTGCTTGTTTGCTAGTCCTGCCCACACCTCCAGCGGCAGGTAGCAGCCTTTTGTACATTTTTGAGAATCCCAGGCCGCCCTGAACTCCAAGCTAATGATTTTTTTTTTTTTTAATTTATAAGTAGAGATCCCGTTGATCTCTAAGGTGACTTTTTTGTTTGTTTTGAAAATGTTTCACATCCAAGTGGTTACAGCCTCCTTTTTCCATCCTATCCTCTGTGATATCTGGCAAAGGCATTTTCCAAAGCACTTGTCATTTATCTAACTCTATTTTCTTTAATGGGAGCAGACTTCTACTACTGGCAAGTGCTTTTGCAGTTGTGTGTACGTGGTTTCCAAGAAAGCGGGATGGATGGGAGGGTGGGCTTTGTGTTCTCCCGCACGGGAAAGCGTGACAATGGAATAAGAAACTTGGCAGTTTACATTTACTTTCCTGGGGGTGTGTGGAGTGGGGTGTTTCTTTTTGGAGTCAGTCCTCTGAAGAGATTAAATTTTTCCTTCTTTTATGGGGGAAGCTCTCAAAAAGCATCACAATTCTGAGATCCCATTTGGAACTGATGAAATTTAGAAGTAAAGAGGAGGATAGCGGTCCTATATGAATACCTACATCTGTTGGAGCCTGATGAAGACTATTTTTGATCGGGGGCAGGGGGGAAGTAGTGCAAAAACTATATGAAAAAATAGTACACATTATCATTTTGATGGGAATGGCAGAAAATTCTTTCTATGTATTTGTGCTCCCTCTTCTGGCTCTTCTGCTTTAGTGAGGGAAGGCAGAGGGAATTTTGCCAGTGACTTCAGCAG